CAGTGTGTTTGAGGCAATAACACGCTGTATGGCAAGAATTTATACAGGGCTTTAAAACTTACAAAGCACTGCATATACATCGAGTCCACAGTAGGACTACAATTTGGGAAAGTGAAGTATTGTTATTAACTTCAGGTTATTGATGAGAAATCAGGCTGAAAGAAATTAAGTGAAGGTCACCAAGCTAGAAGTGGCAAAGCTGGGACTTGAACTTCATATCATCTGACCCTACATCAGGAACTCTTTTCTCTATACCATGCCATTTTCATATTTGTAATATTGGACATGGGGACATTATGGGCAAATATGGCATATTAGCTAAATTAATAGACTATGATATAGAAGAATGATATAATCAAAACAGATTTTTCAATACGTGTATCCTATCAAATATGATAGACCACATGAAATGTTTTTATAAATGAAATTAAAATGCTCCAAGAGAATTGCAAATCAAAGAAACCTGAGGTATAAATTCTTTCTTTAAAAAAAAAACCTCTTGGAAGTTTTTTTGTTTTCTTTTTTCAATATTAAGCATTCTTATAGAAGGCATGCCTAGAGTCATTTCATCAAATAAATATTCTACTTTTATTTTCCCAAAGGATAAACCATAGCCTTTGGCATAGGTTATTTCAATAGGAAATAAAGATTAAAGCAGACAAGCCCCAGGAGATGTTTTAAGTTGTTTTTGTTTTAATGAAAACATGATTTTGTTTTCTTCCTGTTGTATCTATGAGGGCAGTTAAAGGTTTAAATTAACCTAGGTTCTTATGCACTTGTCTCTGAAGATGAAGTTAGCAGTACAGAGTTGTGGAAATGAGAGATTAATAACTTTTGTTGACCAGAATCAAAGCGAATACCAGGTGATCATTATAAGGACCATTCCACTTCTAGGTTCAGAAATCAAACCAGCAGAAGAGATGGCTAATCCTGTTTTCTTGCGGAAATGAAGAGCAATCAAGGCTTAGAAGGGAACATTTAATAATATGGAAGAGGAAAAAAAACAGGATTTATTCTTCAACTAGGTAGATGAGAAATGAAGACTGTTTTGTACTAGGGCAAAGATGTTTCCTTAGACGACCTTGCCATGTGGATCTAATTAGCAACATCTTTGATATGTAGTAGTGATGCAGTTTGTCTGAACTCTTGCTGCTTTGATTCTCTGTAAAGGAATATAACACTTAAGGAATGAAGGGCACTAATTCAGAGCCCTTCCATGTGCATTTCTTTCTTTTTTTACAACTTGTAGAAAAACAGAATTACTTGTGACAAAGAACACAAATGGTTAGTTGTAGAATTATAGAGCTGACAGAAACTCTACAAATCATTCAGTATAACTTATTCCATGTATTGTTTGATTTGCCCACTTCCAGGATTTGAAACCAACACAGAACATTAATATTTCAAATAGGGCAGAAGGATGAGAATTACACTTACGAAAATGAAAAGAATGTTTATGGAAAATTTACAGAATAGGTTGGTCTATTTCTGTCAACTACAAAGATTGTTTACAAAAGGAAACTGAAAATAAAATGGCTTATCCTTGCCAGCTTTTCTTGGGAAGTATAGTAATATAGTGACTATTGCCCTAAAAGGAAAGTAATGACTTAGTTTCCATTCTTGGTTCTTCATTACTTAATTAGATACTTATAGGGTAACTCATCAATTTCTGTTATTGTTTCTCAACAAGATAAAAGATTATATTTATTATCGTGACTTCACAGAAACATTGGGAGGATTAATAAGGTATTATTTTTCAGGAGCTTGGAACATATTGTGGTTCTGCTAGTTTGGCAAATAAAGTAGGTAAATGAGTAAGTTAAGCCTCAGTACTACATTTTTTCTTCTTTTTTAAATCACTAGCAGTTGCCAGGAGTTACCAGACCTTTTTTTTTCATTTTACTTTATTATTTTCTCAAAAGTCAAATCAGTAGAAGAAATGGCTAATCTTGTTTTCACATGAAAATGAAGAATGTCAGGGTTCACTTTCCATTCCACCTTATTTTTTTAGATCTTAATATAGTAAACTGAAAATTATTGTAAGATTTTCTCATGGATATTTACATTGTTTTTCCTTTTTGGGAAAATTTCATACTCTAGCTATCCATTTCTAGCCAAGGTACACTGTAATTAAACTTTCTAAATAAAGAACAATGTCTATTTTAAGCTAAAATTTTAGAATTTCTACCAAGTCTTAGAGTTGTAGGCAATCAGAAGAAGGGGCAGGTTTTATTAAATGTCTTCTAGATCCAGGGCGGCAAGGCTATACCTATATTTATTTGTAATGTACTATTTAGAGAAAAACATTGATGCATTTTAGTGCCAGATGATGTAAAGGGTCATTGGTCAACTTCGTGCAGCATACTGTTTGATTTCTAAGTAGAACATGGCCCATGATGATGGTGTTATAGATAAAATTTCATGGATTTTATTATTGTAATTTAAAAATACTTAATCTCATGCAAATTGTAGTTTAATAATGCACCCGTTGTTGAAATAGTTTGAAGTTTATTTGCAATAGAAATCTTTCAAATATATTGTTGTAGGACTTATGGAAGTAAAATGTTCAGTGTTCCCTCTCCTGGTTTTATCATATTGGTGAACTGACCTCTCATCCTCAAATTGTGGTGATAGCGGAGAAGACAATTTTGAAGACCCACGTAAGATACTCTGATGGAATGTTCTATTTCTGAGTTGACTATTCCACACCCATTCAAATTGGGCAAGAAACTTATCCACTGGTTAAAGTTCATTACATCCCCAAATATAATGAGATATATGAAAAAATAGAAAATATGTACAATAATGTTGATTTTATCCTTTGAAACAGACTGTTTTATTACAACTTATATTGACTGAATAGGTAGCTTCTTGCTTTAATTCTTGTTCTATGTTATTTTCTAGTGATGGCTTCTTCTTCTTGCTGATGGTCTTAGCAGTGCCCTAGGGTCCTGAGAGGTTATTCCAAATACAACTTTAATTTTTTAAAGTGCTCAAACATTTGAAAGTCTAGAATAGAAAAAAACAGTTTCAAAAGAATCACTTGCTATTAAAGAAGGAGATTAAAAAATTACTTGGAACCAAAAATGTCCGTACTCAAATTTATATGATTTTTTTTTCCTGGAGTTTTGCTTTGTTTGTCAAAGACTTTAAGCTACTTCTGATATGTAGTACCTGGAGAAAATATTTCCTTTCCACTTACTATATGTTTTTGGGTTTTAGGTACCTTTTAAAAGTCTCTGTGGAAACTCAAATTTCACATATTGTTACCCTCACTGCAGCATGAAGTACACGATTTTGATAATAAATGTCTAAAATCCAATAGTTTGTAAGGAAACAAAAAGCAAGTTTCCTACTGATTAAAATGCTTTTTTTTTTCAGTGACACATCATTTATGCTTAAGAATTATACAACTTCTCGGAAAATTATCTCTATTTTAATTGATTGCCATTTAGCTGATTTTAAAAATATTTTTTTTCAAAATTATAAATATATTACAAAATTGAAGGAGTTTGGGATTTTTAAAATTTGATTTTGGGGAAGTTATATCACAAATCAAGATAGAGCAATTATTATAAAATCTACAGTAGGAGATTGCGCCTTAATGACATATTGTTACATACATTTGCAGTAAGGAGTGCCACCTTTTGAACTTTGAGGTTCCACATAGTCTGAACTTTGCTTTAAATAGGAACTAATGTTATATTATCATCTTTTTCCTATCAATATACATTCTCTCACTAACTGATCAGAAGTGATGGCTTGATATACAACTTTTTAATCTTCTTTTATTCTTCAAAAAAAATTGTTTTCTAATTCAACTTTAAGGATAGAGTCCACCAATCCTTTTACTGAGATTGATGACTAAAGACTGCTGACTAGATTTAAAGGTATTCTTTCATGACAAACAGCATTTGCAGGATTTTTAGAGGCAATCCACATTTTTAGAGGACGTTTTTCACAGGAGGGTACTGGGCAACATTTCCAAGCGAGAACTCATGAACGAAAGAGGAAACGACTGTTGGGGAAATCCTGCTCCAGGTTTTCAGGCAGCCCGTATGATTGACATATGATATCACTGGAGGCGTGTCCTGGAGTGGAGGTGGAGGTGCCCGCGACGAGCTGAAATTCTGCGGAGCCGGAGTGGGACTGCTCTGTAAGGCACTCAGTGGTTTGCAGAGTGATAGCTGCAGACAGAACTCCCTGCCCTGGATAAGGAGCAGCTACAGTCGCTGTAAATGTGCCTGAAAAGCAATTTCCAATCTTTGCGTTAGGTAAGAACTGTTTCCTTCCTTTCTTTCCGCAGACATTTTAGGAAAGGTCAGGTGAGAAATGTTGGCTTTTGCAAGGAACTGGTTATTTCTTTGAACTCGCTTTAGATCTAAGATTACTGGTTGCATTTCAAATTACCAGTAGCATTCCCACTACTAAACCTAATGCTCTTAAAATAAATGCTACCACCAAAAGAAAAAGCAGGGCCCCTTTCCCTCCCCCCCCCCCCCCCGTAAGCGAACTACTTAACAAGGTTAAAGTCTGAAACGGTCGGATGTGTGAAAAACTGGGTGGTTTATGCCGAAGAGGGGCTGGCACTCGGGTGTGTGGACCAAATGCGTGTTTGTTTAGGCATTGTTGGCGACCGAATCCCGAGAAGCAATTGTCTAAAACCTGAATTTCCCGTCTCTGTGTATTGATTTCCAATGCGCAGAGGCGTCGCTTGAACGTTGTTTGAACTCCTAGGCATTCCAAGGGGCAAAAGCACTTCGGCAAAAACGTGCAAGACTGCATGTTACTTTGGTTCGCTGCTGACACGCCGACTGTGCGCCCGCCTGTCAATCACTGGGAGAGCAACAGCCAGCACATGGCAGCGGGTGCGGGCGGCTGGCGAGCTGGCGAGCGGCCCGCTCCGCTCCACTCTCCTCCCGGGCGGCGGAGCGCGCTGCGCGGCCAAGTGCCTGGAAAGAAAGGGAAATTAACGTGTTTTTCTCTCTAATCGTCTGTAGCAGGCATTTCGGCCGTGGAAGAGGAGGGTCGGAGGGCTGGGAGTGAGCGCTGCCCGGGAGACGCTGACTGCCAGCACCGGAGTTCCCGGGGACGCCGTGCCCCCACTTGCCCGGCGTGCGGGATCGGGAAAGTGCCTGGACCTGCGCGGGGGGACCTGCGCCCCGCCTTCTCCCCGGAGAACCCCCAAACCTCGCTGCCTTCACCACCACCCCTCAAAAAGCCGGTAAAAAATAAAATAAAAAATTCCCCCCCCACCCCCCCGCCATCCCGCGGAGAGCGGCGGCTCGGCCTCGCAGGCGTGTGCTCCAGCTTGCCTGCGCGGCTCCGTGACCCGCCCGCGGACGCCGGTTCGAGCCCCGTCCCGGGCGCCGCGGAGCCTCGAACGTCCGTGACGTGGATTTTCACGCGTCAGGAGGCCGCCACTCCCGCCTTTCCCGCGAGGAGCGACTGGAACCCGAGAAGAACTGTGGTCCGAGCACGCACCCTTATCCCCGCCGCTCCCTCGCTTGCTTTCCGGAGAGACCCGGAAAGCCCTTCCGAAGGGAATTGTTTTCTGGCTCTCGGAGGGGGCTGCAGGAGAAGAGCCCCGGAGGTGGATGTTACTGAGCTGCGCGGCGCACGCGAGCTGTGAGGAGTCTACGCCCGGCCGCGCGGAGGCTCCGGAGGATTGTCCCCCGCAGCCGGAAGGGGGCCGCGGGGAGCGCTCCTGCCCGGCGGGGACGGTGGAGGCCGCGGGCCGACCGGCCGCAGCTCGGGCCATGCCTCCCCGTTCTCCTCGCCGCGGTTGATGCGGGGCGTGCACTCAGCCGCCCGCACCGGGACCTGGGCCGGGTTGCACGGCTTGGCCCCCCGCCCCCGCTTCGGCCTAGGTGAGTGTGGGGCGGCCTCTCTCCCGCCGCGGGGGCGGGAGACGCGCGGGCGGGGCGGGCGGGGCGGGCCGGGCGGCAGGTGCGGGCCCGGAGGAGCTGCGCGGGGGCCGGAGCCGCGCGAGGGGAGGAAGGGCAGAGGAGGTAGAGGGGGGCGACCCCCTCCCGCGGCGCGGCCCTCCCACCGGGGCGCTCGGAGCTCCGGAACCGGGCGGGCGACCTCCCGCCTCCGCACGGGATGGCGAGCGGGGCCCCGCGTTCTCAGTCGCCTGCAGCGGTGGCGCCATGACCCGGGGTGTCCTCTTGGAGGAACTGCCCCCCCCGGGGGAAAGACGCTTTCAGGGAGGCTTTTGAGGGGGTCAACGGGGCGGGGGGGGGGCCGCGGAGCTGTTCGGCGGGTTTTCTGTGTCGGAGGCTCCCTGGGACTGGGGCCGGGAACGGCATGTTTGCGCCCGCGTGTGCCTGAGCAAAGCCCCAAGTCGCTGGGGACGCCCTGGCCCGGGTCTGCGTGCGCCCGAGCGAGCTGCCACTGTATTCTTGTAGTGAGAGCGGTGGAGCGGCGAGGGGAGGGGAGAGGGCACTGCCACTTTAAAAGTGGGGAAGTCCGCCCTCCTGAGGTAATGGTAACCTCAGCCTCCTCCCCTCCTCCTGCCCGAGAGAGGGAGCGAGAGCGGGCGAGAGAGCGAGCGAGCAAACTTGTTTTCATTCATAACTTTTTCCTTTTCCTTCCTCGCCGTCAACTCTTTATTCCCCGCTTGTCTCCGCGCGGATTGCAGAGGGCGCAGCTCCACCGCGGTAGCCGGCGATGTGGCGACGCCGCTCTGCAGCCCCTGCCCCTGGCTCGCTGCGCCCCGGCTCTTTAGGAATCCGGCTTCTCCTTTAAAGTGTAGACAGCTATTTATTTATAATCCTCCCTGACGTGGGCTTGCTTTTTGGCGCCCGCGTTCGCTCTGAAGGCTCTCACCGATTTGTGAGCCTCCTTGGTGGCATACGCCAAGAGGTTTTGGAAATCCACGGTGATCCTTAGGATGTGATGGGATTGTCCGAAAAGGTATTCGACTTCGATTCGGGGGTTTCTTGGGGAAGACAGTCCGCCGAGAGCGTGTGAGCGTGTTTGGGGCTAGACCGAGGACTGTCACTGCTGGAAGAGGGGCTTTGCTTCAGATCAGAGGCGGCCGAGTCTCTTCGCTCTTTCCTTTTATCCGGTGGTCTCCGCCACCGGCCAGCGTGAACTTTGCCACAAGTAGCGTTTAAAACTCAGATTCAAGTGCCTGGTGTTTTATCTGCCCTCTTCAAATCCACCGTTTTTCCTTTCGTGTGGAATCCGCCTTACTACCTTTAGGTACTCTTTGCTTTAAAAGCATTGGGTTAAAAAGTGCTTTGCGAGGAGGAATGATATTGTGCAGAGTAACGATGGAATCTTTTGAACAGCCCTTAAGGATTCCAGGACTAAACCCAGCAGGTTGCGAATGTGTTTCTCTTTCTGTACAGAGAAGGTAGAAGAAAGTAGAAACTCGAGGATCTGAGTTGGGAGAATGAGGGAGGGGAACGCCAAGAAGTTAACATGTAAGACTTAGTCCGGGGACATTGAGTGAAGTTAAGAGGTGAAATGGACTTCTTTCCGCTTTATTCCTTAAGCTAATGTGTTTTGGCTCAAGGTAGTAGTGGGGAATCGGCATTTTTTTCTTTTCATTCTTGAATTGGATCAAATCTGTAGGCTTTGGGAGGAATTTGTGTGAAAAATGTTTTAGTCTATCATTGACTGAAAACAAACGTTTTTATGTTTGATTGTTTTATGAAGAAGACATTATAAATTAGAAACTGTTAACTGTTGGTGTGGAAACAAATGCTTATTTTTATCAGGATATTACTGTACTTTATTACAAGAAGCACATGGATTCAGAGTTGGCAGTGCCTTTGAAAATCAATATCTGTCATGTAAATACAGATTTTTAAATTAGAGGAAATACAGATAATTAAAATGGCCAGGATTTCCCCATACTACTAAAGGCCTAACACTTACTTGTGTGTGAAAGTTATCTCATTAGGTGAGTGAGCCCTTATTTAAACTTAAAAAAAAAATTCTTTCATGATTTCAAATGTGAATACTCTTAACGTTCACTGAACTGTACATTAAGTTTCGTGAGTGTGCTTTAGAGGCTATAAAACACCAAGAACTGTTGTATTTGTCTACATTTGCATCTTGTACATTAATAATGAACTAGCTTTAAAATTCTGGTTTCTCCTGAAAAATGACCTCTTATTTTGAGATTCCATTTTAGTTTGGAATCTCTTTGATTTTTTTTTTTAAATGCATGAAGTATACCTTGACTAATTTCCTCACCATTAATCTAATGCTTGTAACAGCAAACAAATAACAGAAGGCAACAGTGCCAAAGCCATTCTTAATTTTTTTTTAACGAGTGGCTATTTTCCTTTATGGAAAACACCCATGAACTGATACTGAGCTCTCTTTAGATGAGAGCTGTTTATTAGTGCTTATACTCAATATTCCCCATGAGGGCATACTCCATTTTAATTGTTTGTTAGATTCACAAACAGGAAGACATTACTTCTTGATTCTGCTTTTTAAAACTTGAAAAAATGTCTAATTCTTATGGCATGGGGTCTCTTGCTTACATTCTTCTTCTCTGATGTGGTCCTCAGCCTCTCTTAGAATTGGACTCTGGCCAGGACTCCAACATCATTGTAATCCACTGATGAGGGAGATCATTACCAGGTGGTTTAGGCAATTTGCGACTTGACGGGATTTCTCGCATCCCCCCTCCCCCAAATGCTTCTCCTCATTTATTTTTTCTCTGTTTTTTTCATCTTTGATTTCCTTTTAGGATTTCAGATGCATGCCAGGTTTCCACTGATTGCCGGAATTCAAGATCACTACACATGGATCCCCAAAATCAACATGGCAGTGGCAGTTCATTAGTTGTGATCCAGCAGCCTGCTTTGGATAACCGTCAGAGGTTAGACTATGAGAGAGAGATTCAGCCTGCCGCTATTTTGTCCTTAGACCAGATCAAGGCCATCAGAGGCAGCAATGAATACACAGAAGGGCCATCAGTGGTGAAAAGACCTGCTCTTCGAACAGCACCAAGACAAGAAAAGCATGAAAGGACTCATGAAATCATACCGATTAATGTGAATAATAACTATGAGCATAGACCTACCAGCCACCTGGGACATGCGGGACTCTCAAATAATACCAGAGGCCCCATATTGAGCAGATCAACCAGCACTGGAAGTGCAGCCAGTTCTGGGAGCAACAGCAGTGCCTCTTCTGAGCAGGGGCTGTTAGGAAGGTCACCGCCAACCAGACCAGTCTCTGGTCACAGATCTGAAAGGGCAATCCGGACCCAGCCCAAGCAATTGATTGTGGATGACTTAAAGGGTTCCCTGAAAGAGGACCTGACACAGCACAAGTTCATTTGTGAACAGTGTGGGAAGTGCAAGTGCGGAGAATGCACAGCTCCCAGGACCCTGCCATCCTGTTTGGCCTGTAACCGGCAGTGCCTTTGCTCTGCGGAGAGCATGGTGGAATATGGAACCTGCATGTGCTTGGTCAAGGGCATCTTCTACCACTGCTCCAATGACGATGAAGGGGATTCTTACTCGGATAATCCTTGCTCCTGTTCACAGTCACACTGCTGCTCTAGGTACCTGTGTATGGGAGCCATGTCTCTGTTTTTACCTTGCTTACTCTGTTACCCTCCTGCTAAGGGATGCCTGAAGCTGTGCAGGGGGTGTTATGACTGGATCCATCGCCCAGGGTGCAGATGTAAGAACTCCAACACGGTCTATTGTAAGCTGGAGGGCTGCCCCTCCCGGGGTCAGGGTAAACCATCATGATTTTTGGAGGTGGGTTGGGCCTCCTGAACTTCTAGCTTTCAAGCTGTGGCTGTTATGAAAAGATCCTGTTAGATACTGGTTTTATTTTCTTTGCAGTTTTTCCCTTTTTCCCACATTCTCTCCCCCTCTTCCCAAGATTTGACTCATGGATTTTACTCTAATGGTTGATCTTCAGTAACAGTGAACTGTGAAACTGCACCTGGCTCCCCCTTATGACAAGAGCCTCTGCCATCCACTCGAGAGGATATTGAGAGCCAGTGGGCTTTTATGTAGCCTTTTTGTTCTGCAAGAAACTTTCCAAAGTTGTACACATGAACATACCCACACACACACCCAGACTACAGTGATTTAGAGCTGTTTTTGTTTGGGTACTCTGGGAGCAGGGAAATTGGTTTTTTAAAGAGGCAACCATTTAATTGCTTAAATAAGCTATGTATTAAATCTGTCTTCAATTAGGGCTCTCTTCATAGCATTGGACCCTTAAGTAGCAAGGGGGATATGTTTCTGTTATAACATTAAAATTCTCCTTTAACCACTGCCTTCTCCTTCTTGCCCCTCAACGTTCTCTCCCCTCAGTTCTGGCATTATCTTATCCTAGAGATGCCAGTTTTGTTTTCTGGGTTTTTTTCCCGTGTAATTTTAGATTCGCTTACAATATAAATCTTCACATTGGAGATATATTAGTTGTATCTTGTTCATCCTCATTCAAAGCTTTCATATTTGTGAAGGACTCGGCTCCCTTCTGTACCCCCACGCTTTTCACCAAATTACTCTTGTCACTGAGGGCACTTGGATGACTGAAGTTGATATTTATAGCTGATCGATCTATACGTGTCACAGAACTATGCTGCCTAAAGTGATCTTGGCTCCTTAATGGTTTTTGGACCCTTTGGTTAGTTAACAGCTGAGTAGTTCTAATCTTTTCTGCTTTCATTGCCTTAACCACAAATTGTGGTGCTTTATGTATATTTTATGTATAAATCACAAAGTTGAATTCTGACTATTTTTAAGACAAAAGTCTGTTAAACTTTTTTATTGTAAAGAATATTTATTATGCGAATCTATTATTTTATGATATTTATTGCAAAAACTGTTGAAATGTACTCATGTCTGAATATAACAAAATATCAATACATAACGGAAAATAAGGTGACACCAAGAAAGTACATATGTTAACTATAATGCAGAAAATATATTAATTAATGAACCTGTCTCTTGATTTCTTCATTTATTAGCCTGTACTGTTGTGGTGATTTTTGTCATTTGCTTCGACTCTTTCGTCATGCATACCCATTTTCTTTCTTTCCCTTAACATACCAAATCTAGATGCAAGTGAGCTCAAATTTTGAACTAGATGTTTCCTGGAAAATGCATTAATCAAGATTTTGTAATCCAAATTGTGTTTCAACAAATGCCTGAGTAAATCACTTTACAGAGTGAAAAAACTTTTTTTTTGTAATTAGTGTTAACAATTCCTGCCACTTTTGTCTATTTTGTAAGCAAGGGGTTTTGTGTATGTCATAGTTTCTTGCAATGGGACGTATTTGTAAGTTTTAAAAAATGTTTATCTTAACTCTCTTGGATTAGTCAAAAATTCGTTTTCATCCACAAAACTTAAAGGACTTAGTTCTGCAGGCATGCTTGGAGTCTCTGGCACTGTCACTTTAATAAAACATTCTAAAAGTTAAGAGTGCACCAAGGGAATAGTTAACATTATCAAAGAGATGTTTTAAAAACATTCCAGTCCCTACCTTTTCATTTTGTTTCATAAGTCTCTAATGTGACCTGATCAAATAACATTTTGACATGTTTTATGGAATAAGGAATCTGAGGGCCCTGAAACTTTATATAAAGAAAGTAAATATTTTTAGTTTTTAGTCTGCTGAAGTTACGACATGGTTAGAATCTTTGGGTCTGATAAAATTTTGTGCATGTGACCCCTCAGACTCAGTTTCACGAACTCCTCCCTATGCCTAAGTGATGTGTCAAAGCTGAATAATCTGCATTTGAGAATAAGATGTTGACATAATATGAGCCCAGGATTTAGGCTGTCAAAACTCTTACCCAGCTTCTTTGTTTTGGTTGTCTCTTTACATGATTTGGCTACTAGTTTTGGAGTACTTACTCTTTGTAAATAGGCTTTGATTTTGGTTTAATCTGACAAGACATAAGTGGTAGAAACTTGTTTTAATGCTTTTCCATCAAGCCACTAACCTATTAGTTGGCATTATGACGTTTGATATAATCAAGTATTTTCTCTGCGCTCTGGAAGCAGAAACTTTTTTTTTAATGAGTATTTGTGTTTTGGAGGCCATTTCATAATCTACAGTATTTCAAAATGTGAATTTATTTCCTCTTGTACTCAAGTTATGTGATGATATCACCGATTCCTTAATATTGAATATTTCATTGAAGTTTCGCTCCTTAATGAAGTGTATAAACAGACTCCCTCAAAGTACTGTGTAACTTTTTTCTGTTATTTAGACCCTTCGTTTAATTAGGAATTGGTATAAGAGCTGTCTGTAGCTATACTAACCAGACTAAGAAGCTGTAGCTTTTATTGAAAGAAATTTATAACTTTTATGAGAAATGAGGTATGCTGTGGAGTTTTAACTTCAGGCTATACGGGGAATACATTAAAATGACAATATTAAGACGGTAGTCTCAGGCCTGTATTTGGAAGTAGCAATAGGTTAGAGGTTCAGACTTCTAACATGCTTGTCAGGTGCAAAGCGTAAATACTTTGATTCAAAACTGCCTCCTTTGTGATGGTTTAAACCTAGAAGGAAAAAATATTAGGGTGTGTCTTCATGAATGCTTATGAGTCCTATGCTTTTTAATACTGATGATCATTGTAAAGTGCTATGGCTTTGAAAGCATCCGCAAAGCTGAAATTTCTTATAAACTCCACTGCCATTTATTTGATACTGCCCGGTGAAAAATACCAAATAGATCGGTTAACCTTTCCTTTTTTATTCCACAATTTTGTCCCTCTTCCTCAGCTACTACAGCTTGACAGAATGAATATTTTTGTTAAATAGTTCCTTTCCAGCATATTTTCTGAGTGCCATTCTTTTCGTTCCAAGAAGTTTTATTTAGATAATTTAATTGTGAATAAAACCAATGCAGGATTGCTGTAATTGAGCAGTTTCCCGTCAACAGTTTATAAAATGTCACTCAGCAGAAAAATGGAATGTGAAAAAACAGATATGCTTCTTTTTGTGAAGGCCTAAGGTGAATCCTTAAATGATAGTCTGTTATAATTATTATATAGTTTTCAAAATCCAAACCATAGAATGAACATTCCAGTTATGACTAAGAAAAATAAAAATTAAAAACAGTGGTTTTTAAAGTGAAAGGGGGCTTCCCTGGTGGCGCAGTGGTTGAGAGTCCGCCTGCCGATGCAGGGGACACGGTGTTCGTGCCCCGGTCTGGGAAGATCCCACATGCCGCGGAGCAGCTGGGCCCGTGAGCCATGGCCGCTCAGCCTGCGCGTCCGGAGCCTGTGCTCCGCAACGGGAGAGGCCACAACAGTGAGAGGCCCGCGTACAGCAAAAAAATAAAAAAATAAATAAAAATAAAGTGAAAGGAAGGGAGTTAAAAACTAATGTTTTTACCCTAAAGTTAATATTGGAATCAAACTCAGAGGGTTCATTTCCAGAAGATTGATTTAATTTTTTAAATTGTCTCCTTTTCCTAAATCCTTTTTTTGTTGAGTAATGTATTTCATGGCAGTTCTTATGTATAGCTCTTTAGCAAAAAAGTACAATCCCATTTTTAAACATGTATATAATATTGCAAGAGAAAGTTTGGCATCACTTTTTACACATCTTGAAAACAAAACTTTAAATCCCCCTTTTGGCCAATTGACAATTGGGGGACTTTTTTTTCCATTATTTCACTTATTAGATAAGACAGCCATGTACTTAATTGACAAAGTTATTGATTCTTCTGATATTCTCTTGGACTATTACCAAGCCATTTTGCTACATTTATTGAACCCCTACTATGTGCATTATTCCATATGCAGAAGAATTCTAGAGCTAGAAATAGCTATCAGAATATACTTGCTCTATGTTTCTCAACCATATATGAAAGTAAATATGTCACTAGTTAAAAAGTTAAAAATCAGAAGTCTGTGTCATAGCTCAGACCTACTCTACCAGAAGAATCTCCAGGAGAGGAGCTTGATATTCTTAATTTCAAAAAGCTTCTTGGGTGATTCTATCAGGCAATTTTGGAATCGCTTTTTTAGTTCGATGTCTTCATTTTGAGAATGTAGAAACAAAGGCCTGGCTTGAGAAATGTTCATGATAGCTAGCATAGAACCAGGACTCCTCAGTTACAGGATTTTCTTCATTTCTTGGCAGCAAACCTGGTACCTTTATGTTACACATTAGCCTTTACCATTTCGTTCTTTTTACCAGAACGTGTTTCCTTCATAATTAATCAATTGGACCATAATTTAGGAAATGGAATGTTTTTCTGCATATATTATTTGCACTTAGCTATCAGGAATAAGTAGCAAATGACTTAATTGCCATGATTATTTTTCATATGTTATTATTAAAGTTAACAGCTTCTTCTGAAAACAGCATGTGTGCTTCCCCTGGCCAGGTGCATATGGTAATAATGGAACAAACGGATTCGATCAGTTTGTAAAAGATAATAGTAACTTGGCATCTAGATTCAAGAACTTGTGTGATGGCACTTCTTACTGTTATTCTGGTCGTTTCAGGATTACAGTGATTAAAAAGCAGATTTAAATGTTCTATTTTGTACTATTAAAAAGATTGGTGTTAAAGTCAGATAGTCGAGTCATACTAGGTATGGCAATAACTCTTAAGAGCAAAAGCCATCAGAGAACCTAGAATTGTTTTGAATTAGGTAATTTGGGAAAATATACTAAAAACTTCTGTCATTCACTAGTAAGTAGTCCGAGAGCTTGTTTGGATAAAATAATCATAGAATCATACTTTTAGTGGTAGAAAGAAACTTAGAGGTCATCTATTGCATCTTCTTTAGAGATGAGAAAGCCAGGTTCAGAGATGTTGCTTACCTAAAGTCATGATCTAATTGCCAAAATAAAATAAACTTTATTAAAAACTGCTTGCTGCATAGGTACGTTTGGTAAAAGATCAGAAGAAAGAAGAGGTTGGTTGTGGGGGGCAAGACCAACCTCTAAACCAAAGTTTCAGGTTAATTTGTAAGTTATAAAATTTAACAAGTTTGTGAAAGCACAATGGACTAACGGTAGTCCAAGGCAGAGAAATAAGTGCCGTAAGAAAGGAATCAGACAAAAGGAGCTGAATAAATTTGATGTAAGAAAGCAAGGTGGGTATTTGAGAAAACTGAGTTCCAGTTTGGCTAGCAGCGGTTCTCAACTTCAGCTGTACATTAAAACCACCTGGAAGTAAAACAACAACAAACAACACCTGTGCCCTGGGTGGGGCTTTGTCTTTTGTCTGTCTTCCAAGCACCCCAGATGATTCTAAGACACAGCCGCAGTGAAGAGCCTCTGAATTAGATTATAGGTAAGTGTAGAAGAATTATGGGAGATTAAAATGGCAGCTATTAAGGTAAGAGGCCAATTTAGAAAAAGAAAGAAGTATTAAGGGTCAGAACTAGGTTGGAGGTTAGTAGGAATGGAAAGAAGGAGGCAACATGAGAAGTAAACCTAAAGGGCTTTGCAGTTATTTGTATGTGGGGTTGAGAAGGAGGAAAGAATTGAAAATGATGCTGAGGTTTTGGACCAAGGTGAATAGGCAAACAACGGTAGCTCTGTTAAAAGAAGTGGGTGGAATTAGTTTAGGAGGTGTGTGGGGTGGGAAAGTTATGAGTTCTATTGGGATAAACTCTTACAGTGCAGGTGAGTTGCCAGAAGGTCACTGAGAAAAAAGTCTAGAATTTAAGAGGGGTGGGTGATGGCCCATCACCCACATGGGGGTGAGAGGGAATCTGTAGCATAGATTTTTTTCTAAGGGAAAGAATGGAACTAAAAGCAGGCTAGGAACAAAACCTTGAGGAACATGCCTATATTTAGGAGGCATAGCTGGGATTTAGAGCCAACAGAGGGATGTTCAAAGAAGCATTAGGCACTGAAGGATTGGTATGTTTTAGAATCCAAAGGAGACTTTCAAGATGGAAATTAGTAACTAAATGTCAAAAGCTGTGCAGACTCCCAACTAAATTTGGTGGGCGGTATTTAGGT